CCCCAAAACCCCAAAACCCCAAAACCCCAAAACCCCAAAACCCCAAAACCCCAAAACCCCATGTATCACACAGGTGAATGAAAACCTTAAGAATTTTTAGTCAGGACTTTCTAAAATGTTAAAATTTACTCTTTGGAGGAGTCACTGGTCTTCCTTCACCCATCTTTCCATAGTTGAATTTTGTCTTCTTCTCAGCTGGTTTTAAAATTTGGAAACTGCACATTAGACTTTCATCAACTGACATCAAAGCTCCAGAGTTATCAAACTCTCCACAGTAATTAGGAGCTGAGAATAGAGTTACAAGCTGTCTCTTGGCAAAGAATTCATAGCCATCTTCTACAACTTGATGTGCTCTTCAAACTAAATCGAGATCATGTTTCTTAAGAAAGAGTCCTACGATATCTGCTCCAAAGACGAAACTGACTCCTCTATCATTCTCTTCCCAACCTGTTGCATCTTTCTCAGGGTCAGACCACAGTAAATCACATAGTAAACCTGTATCTGGTACATCAGTTGGTCTCATAATCCTTCTGATTTGCTCCATACTGCTTAGTTCAGGAGAAAGTCCTCCATGCATTCAAAATATTTTGTCATCAATAACCGCTGCAACTGGGAGGCAATTGAAGCAGTCAGTGAAGGTCTTCCACAATTTAATGTTATACCTCCTCTTACACTCATCATAGAATCCATAAATCCTATTGATAGAGGCACTCTCATGGTTTCCTCGAAGAAGGAAAAAATTCTCGGGATACTTAATTTTGTAAGCTAGGAGCAGACAGATAGTCTCAAGAGACTGTTTTCCTCTATCAACATAATCTCCAAGGAAGATATAGTTACTTTCAGGTGGAAATCCTCCATACTCAAACAATCTGAGAAGGTCATAATATTGCCCATGAGTGTCTCCTCATATTTTAATTGGTGCCTCGAGCTCCAACAAAATCGGCTGGTTGATAAATATATCTCTAGACTGGATACACAGCGCTTTTATCTCTTGCTCAGTTAGCTGCACTTGAATACCAGGTTTGGCGCCTCTAACCTCCAGAAGCCTGTCGATAACTGAATCAACATCTAACTCGCTGTTATCCATTCCTAAATTTTCAATTTAAAATAATTATTGAGGGGTTTTGGGGTTTTGGGGTTTTGGGGTTTTGGGGTTTTGGGGTTTTGGGG